CTAGAGGTTGGTTGTTAATGTATTTACTGGTTGTGGATGTCACTAAATTTTTATGGAATGTGTTTATGTTTGAAAGCATAATATGTTGAAAGGCATGACTACGATTGTTTCATGATATAATTGAGCATGATGTGTGTGTGTGTCGGTGAAGGCTACTTACGGAGTATATTTTATATACTCACCCCCCCTCTACAATGATTGTTTCAGGTGAAGGACTCGGGGACAACCATGGTGATGGGACGGAGGAGACATGACGAGAGAGGATCATAGGTTGCTTAGTTACTCCGGTTTAGTTTAAGTCATTGGTTGAGGCCTTATGTTATGGCCAATAAACAAATTGTTCATATTTGAATAATTGGGAGATTTCCCCTTGTTGTTAGTTTCTTTTCGAGATAGGTGTCTATTTTAGTTTTATTCTATTCATTGAGTTTCGCTTAGTTGAATGATAAACTTGTCTCGTGGGGTGGTCCATGAATGTTATCGAATGATATTCTATGGGATTGATTTATCGTTACATTGATGAGAATTGGAACTTGATTTTATATATTTGTTTGCATAAGGAGTTGGTAGGACGTACTTGGGGTAAGCTTAATTAGTTAGGTAGTTAACGTGACCTAGAAGTGTGTGGGAAATTCTGGGTCGTTACAGATATAGAAATGAATGATCACGGAGTACACGGGGAAAGTCTACAAGAGGAGCAAGCTCAAATCAGCTCAAATGAAGCTTATGCTCAAAGTCAACACAATCATAAGCCAATCATTATGCCACAAGGTCCAATCACAAGAGCTAGCGCTAAAAGACTACAAGAAAGGTTGAATGGTCACTTCCAAGCTAAGGTGTTCACACTTGGTGAAGAGTTGCATCCCTTCAAGCTTGAAAAGACATCTTGTCCTCCAAGATACTTCATGAATCTAAAAATCCAGATTCATCCACATATTTAATTTATTATGTATTTTTCAAGGGTTGTGTCTTTTCATCCAAGAGTTATGTCTTTTCATTATGTCTTTTGAATTACTATAAATAGGGATGTACATTTGCTTTTCAAACACAACATTTTGATGAATGAAAAATTCAGATTGAGTTTAGTCTCTCTCAAGCTTTTAAGCTTTCTTTGTATTCTTGTGTTAGAATGCATGTTTTAGAACTTTCAATCCAGTTTGATCCATTAGGTTGTGGAGAGTTCGAAATCTTGAATATAGGAACAAATTCTCCTTTATTCTTGATCATTGATCATCTTTTCCGAGCACAAATCTGTTTAGCTTTCTTGGGGTTGATTCATCATCTTGTTATTGGGGTTATTCTTATTATTGTTGTGGGGGTTCACCTTGTATAAGGGAGTTCTCATGCATAATTGAGTTAGTTCTTTTATCAGGGAGAGTTTGATTGAGAGAGCTTGATCGAGAGAGAATGGGAGTTTTCTATTTTCTTGTTCTGTTTTTCATTTTTGCATAACGTTTCTGCAATTTACCACAACCACAGTGATGTGGGAGTTACCCCACGTCACTTAACTTCTCACTCCCCTGCAATAATGCAGGGGAGTTAATAATTAATTATATTAATTAAGTAATATTAATATAATTAATATATTAAATAATTATTAATCAAATTAATAAATAATTAATATTAATAATTAATTAATTAAATGTAATATTAAATAATTAATTAAATATCTCATATTTAATTAAACCATATTCTCTCTTGTATAACCTATAGATTTAATATACATCTTATGTGCATTAATTTTTAACCTACGGTTTTAATATGAATCATATTTTTGAATCTCATTCAAATAATTTCTCTCATAATATATAGTTTTAATTTAGAATTAACTATATATTATAATGTATCAATATACATATAATCCCTTAAGAAATTTGAACAGTTCAAATTCTTCTAAAAACTTGATCTTCGTTTTATCCGTTATGAGCTAGCAAGGGGACCTAATGGACCTACAGATCCGAAGCTCCAACCATACAAGATTAATCGATCAAACTCATTTACCAAGTTAATCAACATTCGTTAACTACAGGTCACTCCACTGAAGACCCGCAGTTGCACTCTTCTCACTACAGAATGTTTTCGTATCCATGGATGTACGACCATTAATGACAAGTCAATCTTTCATGAGTGCTCGTAACTCAATTTGGGTCAAATTACCGTTTTACCCCTGAGTTACATCTTATTCCTTAAATACGACTGCTCCTCTAACGAACAACCCGGTTATGCTCTGACCAATAACCGGAAGTCCCTCTCGGGCCAATGAGAGGGTGGGACCCCTTGTTCAAGTCTCGGAGTCAGCATTTAAGAGAACACTCAGCTACTCCCTTCAAGTCGGGGAGGAGTGAATTCCATCTTGTGAAGTTATGCTCCCAGCTCCCCACTCGGTCTCGTCCCCAAAATGGTAGGAATGTTGAGTCAGTGACTCGGGCCACTCTCACCCATACAGATCAAAGGACGAGCCCTCACGAACAAGAGTTCATAACTCACTCAGGATTTAGAATGAGTTGTCTGGTCATCCTAAGAAACAGCAATCTATTAGTTAACGGTGTTACATCTATTTCGTGGTCCGGTCTTATACAAACTCATTGTATAGGATACCCCCACTCGCATGTCTCCACACGAACGACCTAGATATATTTGTTTTTACATAAATACAAACTTCGAGTTTAGGGCAACACACCCAACAAATTATGCCCGTGTTGGTTAGGCTAAGTTGGTCATCCGGGTTTGATCAAGCTTGAGATGGTCAGGCTCAGGATAGTCATCTCGTGGTGGTTGACTTGGGTTGGTCGGCTTATGCTAATCGGCTCGAGTTGGTGGACTCGAGGTGGTTGGCTCGGGATTGTTGAGCCAAAACCGTCGAGCCCAAGATGTGTCAATTCAAGGTGGTCAACCTAGGTTGGTCTGCTAGGACTAGTCAACCCGTGGTTGTCAACTCGTGTTGGTCGGTTGGGGTTGGTTAACCCAAATTGTTCAACTTGGGGTAGTTGGCCCAGGATGGTTGATCGTGATCGGTCTTGATGATCGTGATCGGTCTCGGTCTTGATGATGATTTTGATCGGTCTCGGGCTTGATGATGATCTTGATCGGCCTCGGGCTTGATGATGATCTTGAAGGGATCGGATCCCGCAGCAGAAGCACGCGAACGCGTGTGCTTCGATCTTGTTTTAGAATTGCAACAAAGAAAAGACATATAAGCATGAATAGAAGGAGTTAGTGATACATACCTTTGAAGACACCTCTTCAATGTAGACACCAACGATATCACAAAGTCTTCCTCGCTATCCTCTGGATATTAAGAACTTGGTTTGTGGGAACTATCTTATAATTGAAAGGGAAACCGAGAGATCAAGAAAGAGAATTTCTCATTTGAGTTTCGAAAACTCAACAACCAAGGACCGGAAGCCTTAAAAATGAATTGGGAGAGCCTCCCTTTTATAAGGAAGGAGGAGTGAGGTGGAAGTCACCACTTCCCCACTCACTTCCCCACTGCCTACCATTAAGGAAAACCTCCCATTTTCTTTTTCTTTTTTTTTCCTCTTTTTTTTCTTTTATTTTAATTAAAATAATAACTAATTTAATCTAATTTAATTAATTACAAAAAAAAATTATTAATTTAATTTAATTAAATCTAATTTAATTTAACCAAATTATTATATCACATTAATTTTATTAAATTACATTTAATTAAATTAATCAATTATATTAGAATCAAATTCTAATATTTATCTCTCTCATCATTTTGAATCCAATTCAAAATTAACTTTATATTATAATGTATCAACATACACTATATTAATTGTATCTCATACAATTATCCTTAATTCCCTTTAACTAATTTGAACAATTCAAATTCTTTTCAAGACTAACTGTTCTTAACGATCCTTAACAAGCTAGCAAGGGGACCTAATGGACCTACAGATCGAAAGCTCCAACGATACGAGATTAATTAATTAAACTCATTAACCATATTAATCAACATTCATTAATTGTCGGTCACTCCACTAAAGACCCACAATTGCACTCTTCTCACTGTAGAATATTTTGCGTCCATGGATTTTGACCATTAACGATAAGTCAATCCTTCACAAGTGTTCGCAACCACAGCTAGGCCAAATTACCGTTTTACCCCTATGTTACATCTTGGACCTTAAGTACCGTTGTCTCTCATGAACAACCCGTTATAGTCCAACCAATAACCGGAAGTCCCTCTCGGGCTAGTGAGAGTGTGAGACCCTTTGTTCAAGTCCCGGAATCAGCACTTAAGAGAACACTCATCTACTTACCTTAAAGTCAAGAATGAGTGAATTCCATCTTGTGTAGTTATGTTCCCAGCTCCCCACTAGGTCTCGTCCCTAAAATGGTAGGCATATTAAGTCGACTCGAGCCACTCTCACCCATACAAATCAAAGGACGAGCTCTAACAGGCAGGAGTCCAGGATTGAGATCGAGTTACCTGGTCCTCCTATTGAAATATTAATCTACTAGTAATATACCGCGTGCAAGGCACGTTTTTTCTTTTTTTTTAATTAAATAGAATTATTTTTTTTAAATTATTGAGTTTAAATGTTGTGGTATTTTAATTTTATGTTTAAATATAATATAATATAATTAAATATATTTATTAACTTTTTCTTGTATATGGAACATTTTTATTTGACATATTGAACTTCTTAAATTTAATACCGGTCTATGTAATATAATTATGGTTTTTTATTTTTTATTAGAAGATTGTTTATAACTATTATTTTTAATTTATAATGAAATGTATGTTTATTGTACAAATATTCGTCAACATAAAAACAAATATATTGAAATACAATTATTATTTTGCTGTATAATATAACATTACTGGATAAACAAATAGATTTAGAGAGTCAAAACTTCTTTATATACAATGTTTTTTGTCAAATTTTCCTTTGATTCACCAACACCTTTGTTGTTGCCATAGAGATGCCTCTCGATAGTGCCACATATAGTTGCCCATGCGAAAAAACGTTTTAAGGAAGATAAACTCCTACGTTCGGTATTGTCTGTCCTTGAGCCTTATTAATAGTCATGGCACAGCATAGTCGTATCGGAAATTGCTTTCTCTTGAATTTGAACGGATATCCTTCATCATTTGCAGGACTCATAGGTATGCGTGGAAGGAAAACTTGTTTGCCAGCATTCTTTCCAACGGTGATTTCTGCATAAATGATATTTTTGCGAAATTCACGACAAACCATTCGTGTTCCATTACATAGACCATTAGCTGGGTCTAAATTCCTTAACAATATAACTGGACAATTTGCTTTCAACATCAACTTGTGCGGAGGAATACCATTAGGCAATAATGAGTTGAGGAATTCTTCTTGATAGTAATTATGTGTGTCGTCAATTGCCTCATCAAAACTCATGAATTCAAAAAATTTTCCTGGAAATAGTTCAATCATTTTCTCATTAATCTGATCAACATACTCATTTGTAGTTGATAGAATTGCCCATTTGTCATGTATTCTGATGAAGTTATTGCATTTTGTTCAAGATCAAGATAAACAACATTGAGTAACTTCATAATTGCATCTTCATCATTTTCACCTGTAATTGTAATATCGTCTGGGAGGCAAATATAATCATCTTCTACTSATGTTTCAGTTCCATTCCCAATCTTTAATAAATATTCTGCAAATTGACTGTCACTATGAGCTCTCATGTTTTTGGTCAGTTGCAATCTTTCCATTTGCTTCCAAATGGAAAAATTTTCATTAATCGTTTGTTGTCTCGTTGCTCGTGGGACAACTGGTAACACTTGTCGAAAATCTCCTCCAAATACAACAATCTTTCCAACAAATGGTTCTGTAGAATCCATTATGTCTCTAAAAGTTCTGTCGACTGCTTCTATTGTGGTTTTTTTGCCATTGGTGCCTCATCCCAAATAATAACCTTTGCTTGCCTAATTAATTCTGCTCTGTTACTCTGCTTAGAAATACTGCATATAGATTATTCAATTGCTTGTAGTGGTATATTAAATCTAGAATGAGTCGTTCGTCCTCCTGGCATAATTGAAGCAGCGACACCTGATGTTGATGTTGTAATGGCTATCATTCCTCTTGATCTTATAGTAGCTAGCAATGCACGATACAAAAATGTTTTTCSTGTGCCTCCAGGCCCATCTATAAAGAACACGCCACTTTTATTATTCATAATTCTCTGAACAATAATATCATATGCCAACTTTTGGTCTTCATTCAACTTTGATGAAGCTTGAATATCTTCGTCCGAGACTATAATTGATCTTTCATCCAATATATCTTTCGTATTACAATCATTTGCATCTATTTGCATGGGTTTGATTATTGGCAAGTCATACATCGTGATTTGTTTGCCCATTGACTTGAGGAATACTTTTATATCTCGCAAAGCATATTGCATATGATATTCCAAATTTGGTTGCTCGTCTTTTCTGTAATCTTCTAATAATACATGAGAATAATCTTCCCACAATTTCCTCACGTCAATAGGCTCACAATACACTAATAATGTTGCAAAAAGTCTTCGAAAAGCATTAGGCATCTCAAATGATACAGTTTCATCCAAACATTCTACTACACTTTGGTCAGAATCTAAGAGCCCAATTTCCTGTGCTGCTTCTTTAAATGTTGATAATCTTTTTCCATTAACAGTTAGCAAATACTCGAAAGATGTCGGCCCTCTAACATGGTTTAGTAACAATCGCAGGTAATATCTTTCTCCTTCTCTTGGATTTGCTCCTACAATGCGTGATACAACTACTCCTTTTTTTTCTTTCCTTCCATATCCGTAGTTGTTTATCCCATACATAATGTTGAGGAAACTCTTTGTATAAAAACTTTCTGGCAATTTCATACTTTTGACACATATAAAAGTATTCTGTTAGCATTGTCTTCGAGATATGATCCCAATGAATTAGTTTCTTCAAATTTTGATTTTCCCAATAAGAAACACATTGCATATTAGGGAGGTGAAGCTATAAGTTTATCACCGGAGGAGATATTTCATTCAGTCTAAAATCATATATTCTCCATAAGGCTTCTTGAGCTGATACTCATCTTGCATCTTGATAATCTCTTATTTGATCAATACTTGTATTATCACTATCATGTGATACATAAACTGTTGCTCGATCATGTCCTTTGTAAATATATTTGTACAAGTATTTAACTGCTTTTAGCCCAGAACATATTTCTACATTGATGTGGCAGTTGTATCTCAAAAGTAGATAAGGATTATAAGGGACAACCCATCGATTATCAAAAGTCTTCTTTCTTACTGTTACCTTCAAAATTTTTAAAAGTGTAATATAATTAGGAAAAGCTAATACTATTAGACACTAAATGTAGAAACCTAATCCCTTATGTTATAAACAATTTAAAATAATTAGCAAAATAAACTATTATACTATTAAATATTAAATGTAGCAACTTAATCACTGTGATTTAGTATATCATAAACAATAAAAATGAATCAATAAATCAATAAGTAACTTATATTACTATAAATTATAAATACCTGTTTTCCATCGTCTCTCCTCTTATATATTGGGTATGCATCTTTTCCTTGCATTGTTTTCGATGTAAATTGCCTTGGATAACGAAATTTACATTTCCCATTGATCATGCACGAACATTTTTTGTTATCATCTCCGCATGGGCCATGAAGCATGTGTTTCACAACAACATTGTGAAGGGCAGAATTTGTTTGGCTATCTGGAATTTATGCACTAACGTAGTTGTCATACAGGTCAACATTTGTGATTTTGAAATCTTTTTTCAATATAATCAACATATGCATGTGTGGGAGACCACGTTTCTGAAATTCAATAACATATACAAAAGCTGCAACTTTTCCAAATATTTCTTTCTGCACAATTTGATTTTTAAGGTCCATCAATTTTCCTCTGAAAACTCTTGAAGTTAGATCTGGCCTATCTTGAGAAAGTTGTCCTTCTATTAATTCTTCTCTTATTTCTTTCCATTCGGTATTACATGTCATTGTTATGAAAAGATCAGGCTTCCCAAAATGTTGTACCAAGGTCATTGCATCTAGATAGCGACGACGCATATCTCGTGGCCCACCTATAAATGTCGAAGGAAGAACAACACGCTTCCCAACCTTGTCTCCTCTTGTTTCTCCTGCATTTACAACATCAACAATTCCTTGATACAACTCCGATCGAATGTGTGATTGTTGCTTTTTGTAGAAATCAAGTCTAGTTGTTTCAAGTTTTATGTACATATCAACAACATATTGTTGGAATAATCTTCCARCTAGAAGTAAAATTRATTGAGTGGATTCACGGATTTGTATCTTATAACAATAGTATTCCCTACACGAAATTGTGGAAGATCGACCTCTTGAAACTCGTGTGAAAGTTGTATAATAAATGGTTATATTACAAATAATATATCACTCATAATTTTAAAGTAGATATACGTTATTTAAATTGCAATGATAGATCGCACGAACCTTGATTTTCACTCTTCATGATATCCTCGATGTTGTTAAGTTGTCGAATATTGGATGTTCCTTCTATGGATATCAATCTATTGTCATCATTTTGCTTTACATTCCTTTTAATGTCTTGATGCCAGCGAGCCTCTCCATTTGGAAAAAGTAAAGGATATTGGAGTGAATCATAACAACTAAAATAATGTTGTATTCTGTGTCGTTTTCCAGAATGTGCATGCAACACAATGTCTCTTTTAAATGGAATGTTATTATCGTTTCCTTCAATACAAATAGCAGCTACTTGATCCACTCCAGGTAAGTTATAGATACGTTGATCAACTTGTACATCCGTAGCAAGATGTATGTGAGCATCTTCAATCGACGGGAGATCTTTTAGGCTTCTAAAAAACTGGCCATAGGGATTCTCTTTTAAAATTTCTACCAATGTTTCCGTAAGACGTTCATTCAACCCAACATCTTTTAATATTTCCATGCGATTTTTAATTTCATTCATGGTATCATAAAAATATAGTTGGAAGAATATTGGCTCTTCTTCTGGTAATAAACTTGGTAGGTCATGATATATTTGTCCTTGTACTTTAAATGTGTAAACTCCTTTATTCGAAGACGCTAGATCTCTATCTAAATTTACCCCAAACGATGTGAAAGAGAAAATACTATTATAAGCTCGAATATTCTTCCTGAATAAAATCCTTTCTTCACATTGTGATGTAAATAAATAATAAAGGTGGTTAGGTATTGCAGTTTCAGCAAGGTGCACCTATATAATAAAAAGAAATTTATAATTAAAAATTGTGGCTATRAAATACCATATTTAACAAAGTATTTTGTTTATAGAAACTCGTACTTGACCATTGAAGCAACAAAATGTTGGAGTCTCGTGCTCAAATTTTATTGCATTACAAAATGTACATGTTCGTAGCTTTTTAAGCTCATGTATAGGAGAATGAAATGGTTGTTCTAGAACTTCTGATTATGTTGAACAATATAAGATTTAACTCAATTAATACATTTAAATAACTTCAATGAATTTATTATTTAAATATATTAGTTTTGGAATATAATGTTAACTACATATTACCTTTGATCTCACTGCTTATTTTTTGAGTGGCTATACTAAAATAATTTSTTATTTTAGTAAGATGTTTGCTACTTTCTTTGTGCAGTCGTTTTTTTCTTGATTGTATTGACAATTCAATTGCCCTTCTTTTTTCTTCCTGAGAAAGTGTAGTGTATCGTTTCCTTTTGTATTATCATCCATACTACCTATTTACAAAATAATTTTAAAATAGTAAGCAAATTATGGAGATTAATAATGTATAAGATGAAAGTTTTTTAATTATTCACATCAAAACCAGGTAGTGATCCAATGTGACTTGTAAAAATAATAGATTTTAGAAAAAAAGAAGTGATAATATAAACTACATTGATTATTTTACAAAATATTTGCATTTAGGAATAATATAATTCTTGTTACAAAGAATAAAGCATGATTTGTTAGTTTACCTTTGCCTTAATTATGACTAATTCAATTTACTAATTGTTACTTAAAAATAGTTTTTAAAAAATAGAAAATCTCTTCTTATTTCTTCTTTCTTTTAATAATGTTAACACCTTAATTTGTTTTATTTCTTATTTAAAATTAAGATTTTTATTCCTATTCAACTATTTATTTAAATATATATAATATTTTTATAAAAATTATTATTTAGAAAAAAGAAAGGAAATTCTCAATGTTTAAGTGGTAAATTTAGGAATATTTATAGCAGATTAAATATAATCCAAATTAAATGATGGCATTTTTTAAGAAATTTAAAATTTAATATACATATATATATATGTGGCAAAAAGTCTCCTTTCATCCCTTATTTTGCATATTTTTTTCATAAAAGATTTTGATTTAATTGATATATATTTTTATACATTTAATGTAAAAATAAAACTATGAAGGACTTACCTTAAATACTGGTATTTTATTTATAAATAAATAAAGCATTTGAATGCGTAGGGTAAAAGTGGAAAAGAATTAAACATGGGAACAAAAAAAAACATTTTTTTCAATACAAAAAAAAACACTGAAAAAAACATTTGCATTTAAGATAGACCTGACTTCATATATCAATTTTTAATTAAGAATATTAATACTTTTAAATTAAAGAAAAAGGAAAAAAAATAATAATAAGGAAGTTAATTCTGGTGTAAACTGCAAGCATAAGTGATTTTTTTAATTCTTTTTTATCTAATAACTATCCTAACGAATTTCTACACAATAATTTTATTACAACCACCTATCTTTTGAGATACTTTTTTTTATTATTAAAATACAATATCACGAAAAAAAAATTACAAATAAAGTATATATATAGTTGTACTAAAAAGGTATGTATTAGTCGTGATATTTCCAATTTATTTGATCATATATTAAAATGAAATTAATACTCCCATCAGCAATTCTGTATGTTTTTTCCTTGTCTAGCTTTGTCGCGAATTTCTCAATCAAATAATTGAACAAAATAATTTGAATACTTTCTCCCTACAATTATATTTGAAACAAATTATAATCAATCACATTAAATAGAATGCAAATGAATTTAAAAAGATTCTTACCTCCTTATCAATAGCAATGAATTTTTGTATCTTGGTTGGATCTCCTTTTCTGCTTGGAAACTGTTTTTCAAGGAATTTTCTAACAATAGTTACGCTTGTCGACCACCCTGTTTGAAATAGGTTCAATTCCGATAGATCAGTAGTTGGCATCTCTGTCATCTAGCTGAAATTTGATAAACAAATTATTATGAAACTATAATAATAATAATAATTATTAAAAAACTAAATTAATTGAAAATTAATAACTTATCTAGAAGGATCAAAGTTTGTCTTTTCTCTATCAAGATACCGTAAATGGTAAGTGTTGGGACATTATTTATCTGCAAATGGAAAGCCAAACGGATTGTATTGAAATGTATAATAAATTTCTTTTAATTATGGAATTTTAATAAGCCAAACGTATTATGAAATTTTATTAAATCACAATAATGTTAAAACGTTTCCATATTTTTCACATTCCTTATGCATTTTAGTTGTATGGAAATTTAATAATTGATTTTAATGATTGTTAAATCACAAAATAATATTAAAACGTCTTTTCACATTCCTTATTAAGCATTGCATTTAATGGTTTTAATTGTATTGATCAATAATTAGACAACATTTAAGTGGGCGTTTTGTTCATATATAAATTAATAAATATTACATGGGTTGATAAAAGTAATTAATAAAAATTGTGAGGGCAAAATAGACCTAAAATGAAAAATTGAGAGGGCAAAATAGACCTAAAATGTTTTCTATGGATCCTGGCATTTTAATATAGTATAGATTAGCTAATGGTGTTACCGCTAAAAATTAATTATTTCGTGGTCTTTGTATAGGATACTCTCACTCGCATGTCTCCACACGAACGACCTGGATCAAGTCATTTGTAACTATTACAAAGTGAGTCGTATCCATAGTGTTACTAGGATAAGGTACCCAACCTTAGCCATATACTATAGATCCTTTAGGTTACTACTGGAACATTATCCACCTGTATATCGAATATATACTGTATATATACACTGTATATCAAATATATACACTGTATGTTAAATATATACTGTATATCTGTTATATACTGTTCTAGTTACATGATATAACCTTGGATGTTAGTTTATTGTTTTTGGGTCAATGCAATTATATCAATAACTACTTTATTGGATGAATATTTGTTTTACGTTTACAAACCACGAG